ATTTCCTTGTAGGTTGCAAAAATGGTTTTTATTGTAGAATATTTTGGTAACAGTGAAAAAAAAACACTATGAGACAGACAACTCCCTCCAGACCGGACCCCATATTCCGTGTGATCTCAATGTCCTCAGCTTCAGCTTACAGGCAACTCTCCCCAAAGATGCACGTCCATTGCAATCGTCAAATAAGTTCTGGTATAGAAACCCGAACTACGCGGTGGAAGAAAGTAGTAAAATGCAAGCGTAAATTCAAATTAGTCCTTCTACTCAATCGTACTCCGACAAAAATTTGACCCTGGGTCCATGTCGCAGGGAGTCATACTTAATGAATACTTTGATCCAGATTAAAATCTCTGGTCATCTTAGCCTGTTGTTGGTCATGCTCGGCTGTCAATTGCCCTTTAAGCCTCCCTGGTTTTTGTTGCGAACAATTTACTGCTTTTTCAAAACTTTTGACCTGTAGCACAGGTTAAGGGTACGTTTCCTGGACTGCACCATGCACTGGCCTTTATTTATTGTTCAAATATACGTAAAAATATAAAATATTTCCTAAGTGCGGTCGCTCTACGTGCACCCATTTTGCTCATACCCATTAACAGGCCGGCCCCCCATAGAGTCTTTTCTTTGCGCCTAAGTTCGAACAGAACTCACTACTCAACCAGCGTGTTGTTGTTAGTTGATTTCTGAGGTTTTTATTAAGTTTGTTTATTTTTTTTAGAACTGATGCACAATTTTCTAATATTGTTACTTTAATAAAAAGAATGTCTATGCCTCAAAAAGTTGGTGATTCTCTTACACTTCGAACCGCGACCTGCGTCTTCACTCGCTTTCATGGTTTCAAGATCACACACTGGATTTTCATAAAAATTAATTCACAAATCTCTCCGTATTTTTGGTAAAAAACCTTCTGATGTTCATAGATTTACTTTAAAAGTGTGCTGCCTATGCTTGGTTTTGCTGTCACTATGCCTGATCTAGTTGTCTAAGCTAACCGGTCACTGACTGATTCTCACCTAATCAATGTGGGATTTGACATTTGTGAAGGAATGATTTCCACAACGTTTCTGTCAAGAGTCCCTTTAGCAGTTGTGTGGCGGGAGTGGACCCCAGGTGTCTCGAATTTATTAGCCTCTGTCTGGGATTCGAGCCTTAGACAGGCAGCAGACACCTGTGTTATACTGGTTTTGGATGCCGGCCCATAAGAAAGCTCGAACGTTCGAGTATCCAGCCCCAAGGGTTACTCGCTAATTACGTAATCCAGCTCACATATTATTCGCCCGCATCTTTTTCTCTAGCCTGTGAAGCACGGCATTTTCAACATACATTGTTGCATTGGTCGTTTTACATGAATCGAACGTTTTCATGACTTTGGCAATTTCTACTAACG